TTCAATTTAAGGTAAGATTTGTTTGTGTTCTACTTTGTGAAGCTTATTTGACGATTGTCTCTGTTTGCAGGAAGCAGCTTTGTCTTAGCCTTTCGATTGGGAATTTGTCGAATGAGATAAACACTGGATTCTAAGCAAAACATTTTTATTTAGTGACTGATTATTTTTTAAAATACAGGTGAGACGTGATTTCTGAATAAGCCAAATGTCTTACCTGATGGTGATATTGGAACTGTTGTCATGAATAAATAATTTGTATTAGTTGGAAATTGCTGATTCAAATTGATTGACCAAATCTCGAATTTAGAGATATAAATAAGATTTTGATATTTTAAACTCCAAAATGTATAATAATAATAATAATAATAATAATAATAATAATAATTTACGAAGGGCTTTATCTATGTAATTTTTTTTTGTCAGTGGAAAGTGTCATGATACCATTTCTAACCTTAGGTCCCTGCGCGGAACCCGGAAAGAAATGTGTAAACCCCAGAAATCAAAGGAAATAATAATAATAATAATACAACAACACATAGAGAAAAGCACGATTTAAGAAAAAAATAGACTCGGTGGAGTAATGGATAGCGGCTCGGATTGAGAAAGCGGAGAGCCAAGTTCGAATTCCAGTCGAATCCATTACATTCACTTACGCGCTAATACCCTTAGGAAAGGTATGAATCCTCGTCTTCTCCCAACCCCACATCTATGGGTTCTATAGCCTTGGATGGCAACTGGACTACCGCAGAAATAAAAGACAACCTACTGCGGGAAAAAAATCTGCCTCGTCAGTCATGTATCGAAAGATACATGATCGCCTAAGTGTGTATCACGCATAGCACATAACTGACTGACTGTTTGACAATGTTCAACAATATTTCGACATATTACGCACGTTACAATCGCATGCGATTCGCGCTGGTTGTGTTTAATGCGATTTGACGCGTTGATTACCACTACAGCCGTTTTCCTCAAGACAAGCGACGTTTGTACAAAGCCTTATAATTTTTGTAATTTTAATAATATTTTTATATTTGTATACAGATCTTAAACATAACTTGAAGAAGACATAGTGCCGAAAAACTGTTGAAGATTTTCAAACATTGCATCTTTTTTTCGTTTTCCTTTTTAATTTGTGCTCTTCTTTAAGTGTTGAAAAATTTTTGAAATAGTTACGTTAGCCATTTTGTTTAATAATAATAATAGTAATGAACAAAATATTTGACGTAACTCTTCCAATATTTTAAATGCCCATGTTGGAATTTTCCGTTAGTTAATTATCATCAAGTAAGAATTAATCAAACAGCTTAGTATGAATCTTATGGAACTCTCCTGCCATTCTGTTCATAAAATAATAAAGTTGTGACTCTGATTCGAACTGAGATACTTTAGAAAACGGCACTGCTTGGGATAGCCAGAATTCTGAGAGGGATTATGTCGATATGGAGACGTGAAGTCATAGTCATTATCTATCTATATCTCTGAGATGAAGTATTACGATTATTTACATTATTCGGACAGTTATCCTCATCTTCATTGCCATATTCACAATTTTTCGGCCGTTGTACGCCCCGGCCTTATTCAGATGATTGGAATTTCGAATCGAACACTTTATTTCGTCTACTCGAGTAGATTGTTCTGGTTCCACGTGCCATGCCTATTCTCATTTATTTCTCTTATAACTCAAATCTCTAAAGTTTTAGGTTCACTGAGGGATTATTAATGATAACTTAGGAATAGCAAATAAACTAGATAAAGGTGAATGTTGCTAAGGTTGATTCAGCGTTATGTAGAAGGTGTGGGGAGATAGATGAAACTGTCAGACATATTGCATCAGAATGCAAGTGCATGGCTCAGAATGAGTATAAGAAATGAAGGCATGATTGGATGTTGTGTAAAAAGTACGGGGTTAGTGGCAAGTATTATGAACATGTAAACATAAAGCAGAGGGTCGTGTTGGAGAATAGCAAAGTGAAAACAGATAGTTACAACTTTAGAGTACAATAAACGAGATATAGTCATTTTGGACAAACAGAAAAAAAAATTGCTGCCAGATAGGAATCTTCTGTAAAATTGAAATGTAAATTAAAAGCAAAAAAAAAAAAAAAAAATGTAGAAAACTGACAACTACAATAATTTAAAGTACAAAAATTTGAAAGTTTGTTGAGAAAGTAAATATAGGACAACTGACCGTTGGAGCAGTGGGGTATTGTTTAAAAACATCGAATAAACTTAAAAAAAAATGTGTTCTCCAACAGGATTCGAACCTGCTCCCGCTTTTTGGGAGAAACTACTGCATGATGTGACATGCTTTAGACCACTAGGCTACAGTCAAGCGAGCTTTTATTGGCCTTAAAGCAATATCTTCTAGTTCAAAATTAAAAGTCCATTAATTATTTTTGAAATTGCATCGTATCAGAATGTACATGTATGGCTCAGGATGATGTACAAGAAATGAAAATATGTTAAATTTGCTGGCATTATTCATTGAAAACTGTATAAAAAGAACGTGTTTGAATGTAGCAGCGCAAGTATTATAAATATATCAACATAAAAGAGATGAATAGAAACGTTAAAAGACCCCCCCCCAAAAAAAAAACCTGTGGGAGATTCCGATCCAGACAGTAAAACTTTAAAGCACCATAAACTAGATATAATCATTCTGAATAACCTGATAGAAGTCCCTTATACATTTGAGCTGAGAAAGGAAAAGAAGGAAAATGAGATCTAAAAATCACAATGATTTACGGTATTAAATTTCGAGGCGGACAAGCAAAGAAAGTAATTACAGCATTGGTGATTATTATTTACAAAAACATGGAAAACAACTTGCAGATATTGGATTGTGATCTGGAAATAGAGTCAATACAAAAAGTATGCCTGCTTGGAACAGCGAGGACACTTAAAAAAATATTGGATATAGTCTGTCGATAAAAAGAACAAGTAATCGGTTTATTGTCTGAAGTCACAAGACGTGACCTAAAAATAATGTTCTTATCACTTAAATCTAAAAAAAAAATAATCGACTATTCAGGACACAGAAGATTTGTAAGATACAAAAAAAAATGAAGATAAACAAAGTCTGTCTTAGAAGATGAAAAGCATAACATCAACCAATGTATATAATCTAAGTAGTAAGAACGATTCCGATAGCCGTGAACAAGAGAGAAAAAAATTTGCCAGGTTATAGACATGGTTGTACCAGCGGACAACAGGAAATTGGAAATATGGAAAAATCCCTGGACGGTCGTCTGAGAACTGAGAAAGCGGCGAAATATGACGCTGAATATAATAACTGTCCCACTTAGAAACGCTACAAAACAAAACAAAACAAAAAAGAAAAAAAAAGAAAAAAATACAATCAAAACTCGAAAAATTAGTGATTCAATAACAAACTGTGACCCCGACAGTTCTCGTGTATGGGGGTCTGGAATGATACTGGAAAAATGCTGCAGTTTTCAGCTTTTTTCTATTCACAATCCAACAATTAACATCATGTATCGGATTTGAAGTTTCAAAAGCTCGAATAATAATAATAATAATAATAATAATAATATAAAATAACAAAAATGATTAGTGGAAAATGTCAGTAAGCTTTTTCTGACCCGAGATCTCTCGTTGGGACCTGGAAGGCAATTTGTATACAACAGACGATAATAATAATAATAACAATAATAATAATAATAATAATCATAATAATAATAATAATAATATTGTGTTAGCCTAAAATGCAGATTCTGTGATAAATATCCAGAAACGATTGATCATCTGCAATGTATCTTTGAAGATATTCAAAAAGCTGTCAAAATACAAGGACCTTGAAATAGAAATCTCAAAAAATGAAATCGAAATTTCAAAAATGGGAACATCAACAATCCCTGTTGTAGTTGGAGCTCTAGGATTGGTTGGAAAAGATTGCAGTAGACTAATTGAAGGGATTCCCGGAAGTCACTGCTTCAAAGAGGTACAAAAAGCTGTTCTCACAAGTACAGCCCACACTTTACGAAAGGCTTTATCTATGTAATATATATATATATATATATATATATATATATATATATATTGTCAGTGGAAAGTGTCATGATGCCATTTCTAACCTTAGGTCTTTGGGCGGGTCCCGGAAAGAAATGTGTAAACGCCAGAAATCAAAGGAAATAAAAACTATCAAAATACAAGGACCTTGAAATCGAAATTTCAAAAACGTGGCGCATGAGAACATCAACAATTCCAGTTGTAGTTGGAGCCCTCGGTTTGATTGGAAAAGTTTCAGATAGACTCATTAAAGGGTCCCTGGTAGCCCACGCCTTAAAGAAATACAAAAAAGTGTACTCACAAGTACAGCCCACACTTTACGAAGGGCTCTATCTATGTAAAATATGTGCAATTTCTTTCAAAACTGCCGGGTGGAAAATGCCATGATGCGATTTCTGAGCTTAGATCTCTGGTCGGGACCCGGAAAGAAATGAGTATACACCAGAAACCAAAAGAAATAAAACAATAACAACAACAATAATAATAATAATAATAATAATAATAATAATAATAATATAATGTATCAGAATGAAAAAAGTCCTTTGAAGATCTTCTTAATAAGAAAAATACAAGAATCTCAAAGTAGAAATCTCAAGACTGTAGCAGATGAGGACATCAGTAATTCCAGTTGTAGTTGAATCCCACGGAATAATTGGAAATGGTTCCGATAGACTCATTGACGCAATTCCTGGTAGCCCATGCTTTAAAGAAATACAAAACATTGTGCTCACAAGTACAGATCACACATTACGAAGACCTTAATCTATGTAAAATGTATGTGATCTTAGTTTTTTTTGTTTTTTTCTTTACAAAAATGTGGAAAATATCATGAAGCCATTTCTGACCTTAGTTCTCTTGTTGGGACCCGGAAGGAAAGACGTATACAAAAGAAATCCAAAGAAATAATAATAATAGACATCACATTGTGCAAGGTATATAAAGCTATGAGATCCCTATTCTTTGGGACTGACAGCCATACAACGTTGAAACACCGTTTCTCTTACGATCACTGAAGTTAAGCAACGTCGAGTCTTGTCAGTACCTAGATGGATGTCTGCTCGGGAATACCACATGCTGTAAGATTGGATGTACGTGTGGGTGTAATGAACAATGACTCAGGTTTGTTAATTGAAGAGCTGAGTTCAAATTTCGGTTAGATTCGTGATTCCCGTTAACTTCTGTGATCGTAAGAGAAACGGTGTTTCAACGTTGTATGGCTGTCAGTCCCAAAGAATAGGGATCTCATAGCTTTATATACCTTGCACAATGTGATGTCTATTATTATTATTTCTTTGGATTTCTTTTGTATACGTCTTTCCTACGCGCAAATAATCTTGAGAAAGGTATGAATCCACTTCGTATCCCCCTAGCTATTGGTTAATTGGTAAAATTTGTACCATTAAAATCATTATTATCTAAAAAAAAAAGAAAGAAAATTTCTTACAATCCAAGAAAAATATTTTCTGGCTTCATGAACAAGTTTCATTTGATTGCTTTCTTTACCACGGGTTTACAGGTTCTTTAATAACCTGAAAAATGTTTGTTGCATAGGAAGAAAGTGTCATAGCCGACACTTGAGTTTGAATACAGATCACCAGCGAGCAAACACAAGTGATTCCATTTCTAATGAGTAGATCACGTGACCGTAAAGGAAACGCATAAATAGGATGTAGCGTGACGTCTAATTGATCACTCTTTCTACACAATCCTCTATTACTATACGGATCACTATTTCTACACTAACCTCTATTACTATATGGATCACTCTTTCTACACAATCCTCTATTACTATACGGATCACTATTTCTACACTAACCTCTATTACTATATGGATCACTCTTTCTACACTATACTCTATTACTATATTGATCACTTTTTCTACACTATACTCTATTACTGTATGGATCACTCTTTCTACACTAACCTCTATTACTATATGGATCACTCTTTCTACACTATACTCTATTACTATATTGATCACTTTTTCTACACTATACTCTATTACTGTATGGATCACTCTTTCTACACTATCCTCTATTACTATATGGATCACTCTTTTTACACTATCCTCTATTACTATATGGATCACTCTTTCTACACTATCCTCAATTATTATGTTGATCACTATTTCTACACTATCTTCTATTACTATATGGATCACTATTTCTACACTATTCTCTATCTCTATACTATTCACTATACTATTTCTCTATTCGGATCACTATATACAGGTTACTTTTCGAGCGAGTATTATCGAGCAAGTACAATTTGTGCGTGTGTTAGTCGAAGGCGTCTGACACCAGTATTGTTCGACGGCGTTACTATAGTTGTATCTGCGATTACAAAGTCTCTACTCCAACGAGCATCGCAAAAGAGACAACGAGTGTTCGTTGACATCACAAAAGCGTTGATAAGCCATAAGAGATCATTCAATCAAATCAAACCTATTCTTTGGAGTTTTACCATTCAGACCGACAGCGAAGAAACACGGTGAATAAAAACTAGAAACCAAAAGATTGCATTCTATTAAATATGGTGATTTTCTAAGCGTTGAGTCACAGATTATAACAAGAGACCCCCCCCTCTCTGCCCGTAAATAGAGTATTATGACTCGGACTCTGCTGCTAACGAAAAGCCTAACTTTTTCAAAACCATACTTTTATTATTTTAATTTTATGGAATATTTTGTACTTTATTTTGCTCTGTATCACATTTTCTGTGATAGATACACCTTCTCTGTATATAGCCAATAATATTTCACACGCATGCACCCACCAGGCATCATAGCTATTCACATCAAATTAAACTTAAAATGGACACAGTCAAAATTAATGCAAACATTTTATATTAAACATGTACAGCAGAGAAGTAATCATGAAACTACCATTAATATTTTTTAAAATCTAGCGTTATATGTTAGGCAACATTTGTATTTCATTTTTGAGATAAGGAATTGTTAACATTCCTTAATTTATTCGAAATATTTGCTATTATAGACACGGTGTTTCAGCTTAGTACACAATAACCATCTTCAGGCTTATATAGGTTATCAGATGATTACTGTGCTATTTTTTACTCATTTCTTGGTCGTTTCTGCTGAACAGTGTATATTGGTTTACTACCTGATCCAGGGATTAAGCTTATGACCACAAGATGAGAGCAGAGCTTTGCCTATCCAACGCCCATATCCACGACTCTATCGATAATTTTGTATTTCATTTTTGACATGATAATATACTCTAAGTTATTAAAACCAATTTTTCTCATCTGGATGATTATAGATGTTATTATGACAACGTTTCGGCTAAATAACTTCTGGTAACCTGACGGTGACCATTGTTAGACCGTCGTCCTGGGTAAGACGTTAAACTACATCCGTGTTCTGGGTAAGACGTTAAACGAAGTCCAGCAACAAGGCCTCTGATCAGGAGGTTTTGAGGAGTGTGGAACCACCTCTTAATTGTTTGTGTTTCCAGGTCCACCCTAACCCGGGGTGGTAGCACCTGTTAGGATCCCAGCTATGGGCAAATAGTTAACTATTGCCAGCAATACTTTTTTGAAAAAAAAATATTACCAGCAATACACTTTTGAAGGAAATATATTACCAGAAACAGATTTTTGACAAAAAATATTGCCAGCAATAAAAAATTTTGTCGGCATTATATAAGCCATTGAGGTTGATATGCTGTAAAACAAAATAAACCAAATCAATCTAAACCAAAGGATACATATTCTATTCATACGAATCTATCCTAAAAATATTGTCGGCATTAAATAACCAATTGAGTTTGATATGCCGTAAAACAAAATAAACCAAACTAATCTAAACCTCTTACATATTCTATTCATAACAATCTATCCTAAAATTGTTTTCGGCATTAAATAACCCATTGAGGTTGATTTGTCGTTAAACAAAATAAATCAAACCAATCTAAACCAAAGAATACATATTCTATTCATACGAATCTATCCTAAAAATGTTGTCGGTATTAAATAACCCATTGAGGTTGATATGCCGTTAAAAAAATAAGCCAAACCATTGTTAGACCGATATAGATTATCTGTTGAATATTGTGTTATTCTCTGGGATGCTAGTTCTTTTTCGTTCCTGATGAACTAGTGTATTCTCTGATCCAGGGATTGAACTGTTAACCACTAGATGATAGCACAACACATTTAACCAATACCGATAACCACTTAGCCAGGCTACGTTTTTCGTAATCCTTTTGATAGTGGAGTATTTGCTTAAAATCCTCCGGCGATGGTCTTGGCCCATTACTTAAGAAGATGAACTTTTACTTATGTTTCTGCCACTGGTGCCCGCGATCGGTGTTCGGGGGTCAGGAATTTTAATACTGATCTTCAAGGCAGGTAGAACTGCTTTATTTAGTTGACAGGTTCAATATATTTTAAGCATCTACCTGGCACTGTGCAAGTGTAATCTAATGTTATTAAATATTCACATTGTCAGTATTTTTTGGGACAGCTATGAACTGAAACAGCCTTAAATTTTATTATTTTAGATGTGGGTTGTGTAATGATAACTGAACACGCAAATAATCAACTTCACTTCTTCGCCCGTTCAAAAACCGTGGTATATCAGGAACCATAGACGATTAAACATGTATTGCTAATCCGTAGCGAATTCCACGAGCCAAATACTACAGAGCAGATAATCTAAAGTAACAGTTCGAAAACACGTAGACGAGAGAGATTTTGCAGTTTTTAAATGAGATTAGATTATATAATAAAATATACTTTTCCGATTTATTCGTATATGTTTTTTTTATCTTTTCGCTACAAGCAAGACAATAAAGCCACTAAGACGCAGTGGTGGGTTACTGAGTGGGAATGAATATAAGACGAAGAAAAACATTATTAAAGAGCGGGAACAAGAATAGAACAGGAATGAAAAAAGACAGAAGATAACGATTGAATATTCATTTAAAGTTTTGAAGATGAAACTTGACTGGAAAGCGAGAAGCTGAATGAGAGTTCCACAAGCGAGAAGTGCGACGGCTGAAAACTTTGGCATAGAACAGACATGGCCAAGTTTTGTTTCGAAAAGTGGGTTGCATGAAAAACAGTTCATCATAAGGTGGGCCATTCTAGTAAAAAAAAAAATTAAAGATAGTGCAGATATTTTCTCAACAGCAAAAAAGAACCCCCCCAAAAAAACAGAAACAAAAAACATACGCATATGGATTTGCCTTAGAAATGGGGGAAAAGTCGATTTATTTTCTTTGGCGAAAAGATTCTTTCTATAAGGAAAAAAAAAAGCTGAAGTCTTCGTATAATATTACTCATGACAGACTGATTAACATAAGCTGCTGTCGGTGATTTTCTTCTAATTTAATCATTTGACGATGAAAAAACATTTCTTTTTAAAAGAAGTATATTTATTCTCGAGAGATAAATAATCATTAACGTTTCCTGTTTCTCAAGAAAAAGGTGTTTACACTTACGATCTTCCTTAGTGAAAATCGCCAATAGTTTAAAATGCTGACAACGTTACCTTCAATGAAAAGTTGTAAAATTCAAGAAACATCGTACTTGCTTATATATTTTGCTATGCATGATAATGTGTGAGTGAACAAGTGAGTGAACAAGTGAGAACGAAAGGAAACAAACAACATTTTAATAAAATTATTTTCCTCATGAAATTAGGCGTGCCATACAGAATGCCAATCGGGCCGCAGTTAGCCCATGACTGGGATAGGACTTACGGTTACATTTAGCTATTTCAGCTGTAAAATGATGTAATTTGGCCGCAAATCTAGTATTGCACTTAATTTCATAAAGTCTATATATCATAGAGGAAAGTTCATCATAACAATTACAATGAATGTATTTATCGGAAAGGTACAGGTAAGCCATATTAGGGCGGTGTGAAAGTGACTGACACCGAGATGCCAAGACAGGACTAGTGATATTGCAGATTCTTTTTTGGATTTTATTAAAGATACTTGAAAGAGTCCTATAATCTATTTTTAAGGAAAAGAGTTATGACAATTCATCATGATGTAAGTTGTATCTGGAAAATCATTGTTCTTGTGAAGGCAACCATAGTTGTCTCCCTA